ACATGAGGCCTTGCTTTCTATCACAGCCATGGAACCTAATCACAACATGAAGTCCTTGTGCTGTGTAATACAATATCGATAGTACACTCATCTCTAACTCCCTTTAAGCAACTCAATTGCCTTGTTATATATTTAATGATTTTTTTCTTCTAACACTTTAGCATCTGTTTTATCTAGTGCACATATATAAAGTTGAATTATGTGAACCAATAAGGTGGGTTAGTTGTGCCATAAAAATGTCGCAGTCTCGTGATCACATTACATTAAAATGTCGCAGTCTTGTGATCACATTACATTAAATTCCGCAGTCTCGTAATCACATTATATTAAAATATAAATAATTTTTAAATTTACATAATATCTAACTTTTAGTATTTTAAATATAATGCGTAATTTTGAAATATTGCATTGGAAGAGGTTGATCACAAAACTGACATTCTTATGGCATAACTAACCCACCTAACCAATACGTCCAAGTTCGAGGAGCTGTTTTGCAGGTTTCAAATTTTTTTAATGTCTTCAATCATATTTTCTAAAGTTTATTTCGATCCAGTTTATTTTGTGAAATGTTTAGAATTTTTTTTTACTCTAATATATAATAATTTGATAATAAATAAATAATGTTGACATTTTAAAAGAATACGATGTTTCTTACTTCTTCAAGCACATCACAAGTGATTAAAAACTTGTTCATCCGAATTTTCTTTATTATAATCACTGTTAAGTATAATGTCATTTTTTATCGCATAATTTTTTTGTATGACATGACCACAAGGTCTTTTTTACACCACATTAAATATTAACGTTAATGTTAAAGGCTTTATATACAACATATAGAATAATACAGTATAACGATAATGATTAACGATCAAAACATCACAATAGCTACATTCTTTTATGGCGATACTAGGTTGGCTGTAAATCTCCAAGGATTTACTGTAGATAACTTATTTTAAATGCTTAAATTAATAAAATGTTTCTCATAACAATAGTCTATATTTAATATCAGCGGCCTATAATAATGATATCCATAATAATTTCAGCAGCTCATAATTTTTGCTACCTATGTATAGAGAAGTATATCTCTTTTTGTTATGTGATTTTTGAAAGTTACAATATAAAACTTATAGATATATGGTCATATGATGTTCGATCGAGATAACCCTATTCGATTATACTTGTTAGCCATCGAAATTACTTATGTGGTGCCTGGTAAATATCTATTTCATACAAATTATTGCAATTTTTCATAATATCATTACTTAATAATTTTAATAAAGGCTGAGATCTTGTGATAATAAAATAAACAGTCGACCATTTAATGATTCATGTTTCAGGAATGATTATGAAACAGTAATTTTTTGGTCATATACATAATTATTATTTATAATTGAATTTTTACTTAAGGTCGACAAAATTTAATCGACTATCAGCCGTTCGATTAATAATATATTTAAGCGATTGTCAAGTGTTTGGATTCAGAGTAGCTTAGATGAACCTGTAATTGAGCTTTTGAGTTTACTTTCAGGACTTATGAAAGTCTAATTTACGTAGCAGTAGTACAAACTACATTAACACAATACTGCAATAGAACATTGCTCATAAAATCATGAAGCGTAAATTTGTATATTTGCATTTGTCATTTGATTAATATTTTTATAATAAATGAAATGAGTTGATGAAAAAGCATTAATTAAAGTATTTCTTTTTTAGACTTTTGATCTAAAAAAAGTGACTCGGCTCTTAAAAATCAGGGAATGCATGGGTCAAAAAGCAAATTATTGTAGTTATTAAAATATAAAAAGATGAACTTTGGCTTACAATTTTGTAATTGAGACAATCCACGCTTGCAATGATGGCTTTTGTTATTATACACTTATGCATAAGGAGTAATTCGAAATATTTAATATGTTAAACAAAAAAAACATTTATAATGGAAACTCGTTAATCTTTCATTAGGTCATTTTATGTAACTATGTAAATTATGTTAATTCTTAAAAATAAATCAAAGTAGCGGTTATTGCTGGAAACTACTGATGTTAGAAATTGGATATAATATCAACAAAAACAAAAAGTAAAACTTGAAATTTTAGTTAAATTGTTTTTACTAATATATATCACTTTTTATAAAAAATATATTTTATATTTAATAACACATATTAAATAATTTTATATTTAATAACACATGTTAAATACATATTAGTAACTTATTGATACAAAATATAATGATAATAAATGAATTAATAACAAGTAGACAAAAAAACAGAATAAGTTTATAATCAAAAATATTACAAAGTATATGAAGAGTAATTTGAAAATAAATATATTATTCAGTTATTTCACCCTCTTTTTTCAAAATAGCTTTTGCACTTTCATTTCCAAGAGAAGCAGCTAATTTCAACTTTCTAATAGCAAGATCACGATCTTTTTTAACTTGAAATTTTCCATTTAAATACATATCGCCTAGATGAAATAATGCAAAAGGATTGCCATTATCAGCAGCTAATGTAAGGTATTTAATAAACTCTTCTTGAGTTTGTTTTGTTATGGGAGTATTCGGCGGATCTGGTAAAAGAGCAAAAGCATAACGTAATTGTGCACCAGGAACATTATTATCAGCAGCTTCTTTAAAAAGCCTTATTGCATCTTTTTTGTTTTTATCACAATAATAACCTTCCCACAAATAATAACCTTTCCAATATTTTGCAACAGAGTTTCCTAAATTTGCATTCTCTTCGAAGCATTCCCAAGCCTGTTTTCTCATTTTCATTATTTCATCCTGTGGCCCCTTTTTATTTATTGACTGATGAATTTTTATTCCTTCATTAAGAGGCGTAGGCTCTTTTATCTTAACATCACTAAAGTCAAACTTGAATTCTGGTATTGTTAGATCGATGAAGTTAATGTCATCACCGTAGAATTTAGATCCATCAAAATCTAGTTCGTTATCCTTATATATTTCCAAATCACCAGGTTTAACATACTTTTCAGCCAATTTTTCTAAATGTACATATAATTCACCAACGCCCATTCGGTGCTTAGGATTATCTTTCCAAGCTTTTAAAAATAATTGGTTTATATGTTTTACATTTATTGTAAGTATAATCTTATTAATATTACATATTTCTATCTATAGATTTTGAAAATTTCTGGACTCAATTCAGAGGTTATTTCAGAGGTTCAAATAATGAAGTCGCAAGAAACTTCTGTCTTTAAACCGTTCCAAATAGATCCAAAAGACTTAACTCCTTGTGCAACACGCCAAGATGAAATTCATAAAGGAAATTCTTCATATTTGTGTAAAAAAATGTACAAATTTGAGGAAGTTGCTTGTAAAGAATTTAATCATAAAGATTCGAATGACTTAAAAAAGAAACAAAGAATTCAAAAACAATTAGCAATATTAGAAAGATTAAGCGAATGTAATTATATTCTTAAGTTTTATGGATTATCTCATTTAGAAGGAAAAGATGTTCAGGTTTTACAATGGGCTGAGTTAGGGTCCCTAAAGGATGTTTATACCAAGCATGATATTGGCTGGGTAACAAAAGTATCTATAGCTCGTAATATATGTCGAGGCCTTGCCTTTCTTGAATCTGTAGAGATTTTACATCATGATATTCGTGCTGAAAATATTATGGTATGAAATATGCATTTAAATTTTATGAATTTATTAACTATGATTTTGCTAAATCACGCCAGTGGTTTTATCTAATAAGTATAAAAGTAATCATTACATGAAGTTCTAGTCAAAAATGTTTAGCATCCCAAAAACTTTTCTTAACCTTTTTAATGCTCTAATATCCAATCTTTAATTTTTAACCTTAACCCTAAATATTACCAGAAAATTAAAATATGTGGTGATGATATCACCCACCGGTGTGGTTTAAAATTCTTGGTTAAACTTATTAAGTTTATTAATTCAATCTTATAATATAGATGACTGCGTATAATAAACCTAAGATTGCAAATTTTGATGTAGCTCGTAAACAAAATGAAACAACTAGTGAAATTCCTGATCTGAAAAAAGTTGTTCGTTGGATGGCTCCCGAAAAAATAAGAGGTGATTCTTATACTACACGTTGTGAAATTTTCAGGTAACTCATTAAAATTATAAACCTATTTAATGAACCTATATAAATAAATATTACTTTTTATTTATTTTTTATTTTATTTTTTTGTTAATAAAAGTTTTGGAATGTTACTTTGGGAACTCACTTATGAAAAGGAACCATATAAAGGTATTGATAGTTTTGAAGAAATTAAGGAGCTTGTTACAAATGGTTATAGGGAAAAGATCAATTTTGGTCCTACACAGGATTCAAAAATAAAAGAAATTCAACAAGAATTCGAACGCATTATGAGATCCAGTAAGCTTACGCTTTTAATTCATTTTGGATACTTTAAATAATTTTTCGTATACTCAATATTATTATTTCTTTATTTTTAAAGCTTGGAAAGATAATCCTAAGCACCGAATGGGCGTTGGTGAATTATATGTAC